ACAAAGTATATGTGAACTGCTGTATGAAAAGTGAATTTACTCTGTAAATCTTCACCCAAATCCTAATAAAAAAATAAAATAAAATAAAAATAAAAATGTATATCCTTGGAAAGCTGATAGGGATTGCTATGAGTTGGAATAGACTCAATGGTAGTGGATTTTTTTTTTTTTTTTGGTCTTATAAATAGAATCATGTAACATGTGATCTTTTGTGTCTGAAGTGTTAGCTATTATTTTAAAAATCAAATTATTATTAGATATTTTTATTAATTGAACAGTTTTTAGATACACTCTTTAAACAACAAATCTTATTTTCTTTAACAGTGCATTTATAATGTCAACTCTCTCACATTGCAAAAATTTTACTCTAGTAAGCAGATTAAACAACAAATAAATAAACTTTTCCCTAAATTCTTTGGGAACAAAGTGCCACCTTCACCTGAGTCTTGGTTCAGGTTGCCCTTACCTAGAATGTGCTGTCAACCTGAGACATTGTTTGTTCTTGGATTGCCAGATTTGTGGCACGCTTTTCATACTTATCTGAAAAGGGATTCTTTATAGACACCAGGTACCTGGTGTTTCCACCTTTACTAGAAAAGGAAATATTTCTACTTTTATGTCATCTCTCCCTTTTAAAATACATAAATGAAGAAGCTAGGAATCTGCTGGAGTCTAGTGGTGAGGTATAACTGGGTTCTCTGTTAATGCTTTCATTAGACAATTGCTCATCTTTATTTGTGTGGATCCCCAGCCCAAGGACCACAAGCCAACATTTGAGAAAAGCCTTCCTTCGAATAAGGAATGTGTGACCACAGGTGGGGAGAGAGAGAAACTTTCCAGGCCACTCAAAGACCTAAAACAGTGATCCCTCCTTCCTCACGCTGGCATTTCCTCTTTGTTTGCACCTTAGTATAATTCCTGCCTTTTGTACTCTTGTGGAGTGGTTGCTATCCACCCACTCCTGCAGTGGGCTTTGTTTCCCAGGGTCAGCTACATCATGGCAAGCAGGACTGCCCCACTGCCCCCTTCTCAGGGTGCAGCCCCAGGGTGATGAGCAGCCAAGACTTGGAGGGTGCACACAGGTTCTTCCAAGGGAAGCTGATAGTGCTGCCAATTTTTGTTTCTGCTTCAGATGAATTAAAAAACAAAACTGTGTGTGAAGACCAGGAGCTGAAACTGCACTGCCATGAATCCAAGTTTCTCAACATCTACTCAGCGACATATGGCAGGAAGACTCAGGAGAAGGACATCTGCTCCTCAGATACAGAGCATCTCTCCCCCTTTGGTATGTGTTTCCACATGGTTGTAACTAGATTGCTATTTGAAGGAATCAGGATTCTCCCCCAGTGACCAATACCTGGATCAGTGGTGAAACTCTAGGAAGGATTAGAGAGAAAGTCAAGGGCAGGGAGGAACCATTGCCCCACCCAGGTCAGAGCTTCTTCTGCATTTGGGAATCCATCTGTTGTTCAGTCATTCCACCAAAAACCAAAAAGCAAATCTGTTGCCATCCAATGCATCCCGACCAATGTGTTACAGAATAGAACTGCTTTATAGGATTTTCTGGGCTGTGATCATTATGAAAGCAGATTGCCAAGTCTTTCTTCTGTTATGCCATTGGGTGGGTTTGAACTGCCAACCTTTAGGTTAGTTGTTGTTTTGGTTGCAATCAAGTCAGTTTTAAAACTCTTGGCAAACCCCATATGCAGAGTAGAACTGTGCTTTATAGGGTTTTCAGTGACTGTGACCTTTCAGAAGCAGATCGGCAGTTGCCTCTGGTGGGTTTGAACTGCCAACCCTTTGACTAGTAGTCAAATGCTTAACTACTTGTGCCACCCAGGAACTTCTTTAGGCTAGTAATGGAGCATAAACCATCTGTGTCACCCACACCAAGTAGTTACTGAGTGCCTGCTGTATGCCAGGCCCTGTCCTAGGCATGCGTAAGTCATCAGTGATCAAAACAGAATCTATGTTCTCCTGGAACTGAGTTTCCAGCAGTGGATAGGTAGGCAGTGAGGAAAAAGACAGTGAGTGAGTATGTATGTCAGGGTGGTGCATACAGCTAATGTGCTTAGGTCCTCCGGAGAGAGGCCTGATGATCTTCTTCCAAAAAAATCAGTCGATGAAACCCCTATGGAGTACAGGGGTCTAATCCTGCTGTGCATGGAGGCACCATGAGTCAGGGCCAACTTACATGGCAGCTAACAACATGTTGTCAGTACAGAGAAGTGCTAAGGAGAAAACACATGGAGGATGGGAAGTGAGGAAAGTCAGTGCTATTTTATGGAGTGATGGGTGTGCTGGGCAGAAACTTGAAAGAGCCTGTGGGTACCCAGTGTGTGTGTGTATGGCAGTGTTTAGGTAGAGAGAAGAGCCAGTTCAGAGACCATAGCCAGTGTGCTCAGTGTGACTGGAGGGGAGTAATGGTTGGGGAGAGGATTGGAGAAGGGCTCAGAGAGTCATTCTTAGGCGTCTGCCATTTGGAGCTAAGAGATGATGGCTGAGACATAGGCCTGATAACTCCACCCCTCACAGTCCCTTCAATCTGTGGCTGTGAAAAAGCCTGGATCTCCACCAGCTACAGAGAGAACAGACCCTGCTGTGAAACAGCCAACGGAATCACATATTATTGATCAAAACCTAAAATGAGCTCCTTAATGCTTTTAGTTGCTATAATTTATTCATGTATCATGTGTGAAATTAAACATTAATTTAAAAGAGAAACCCATGCATAAGTAATATCTTGGACTTGAATAAAACATTAAGGTGTCTTAGGGTTTTCTAAAGAAATACAGTGAGATAAGTATATCTTACTCTGTGTGTGTGTGTGTGTGTGTATGTATACAAACTCAAACTCATACTCACTGCCCTCGATTCAGATGATCTAATTCATAGCGACTCCTCCTTGGGTTTCTGAGGTGGTATCACTACAGAAGTAGATTGCCCAGTCTTCCTTCCGAGGAGTGGCTGGTGGGTTTGAACTGCCAGCCTTCTGGTTAGCAATAAAATGCCTTAAGCACTATGCCACCAGAGCGCCTATGTATACACACACACACACAGTAGGAGCATATATATATATATATATAGAGAGAGAGAGAGAGAGAGAGCAGGAGAGATAAGGATCAGGAGCTTATATATATATATGTATATATAAGAAGCTCTGGTGGTGCAGGCATTTGACTGTTAGCCAGAATGTTGGCAGTTCAAACCCACCAGCCACTCTGCAGAAGGAAGACTGGGCAACCTACTTCCATAAAGATTTACCACCTTGGAAACCCAATGGGGGTCACCGGAATCTACTCAATGGCAGTGGGTTGGGTTTTGTGGTTTTTATATGTATATATATACAGTAGTCCCGACTTACACCATATTCCAATCAGGGCTAACTTGACAGCAACTAACAACACATGTCTTACAACCTTAGATGACAACATGTCTTATGGACCATGTGTACAAATTCCATTTTTTTTGTACATCTTATCATTAATAATATCAGTTTACTACATACGGTGTTGAAGCACATGATTTGCTGATGTCATCATACCTGTGAGTTTATGTGTAATGTTTCCAACCCCCAAAGACAAATAAAGATCATATTTATAAAGATACCAATAATAAGAGGCAATAATAAGGAAAACGAAAATAACAATAATAAGGTATTTGACTTACATCAGAACTGACTTACAATGAGGTCATTGGAACAGATATATATAGAGTGATAGATATAGATATAAATAGATAGATAGATATTGTTGTTAGGTGCCATTGAATCAATTCCAACTCATAGCACAGAGTAGAACTACCCCATAGAATATTTAGGCTGTTATCTTTATGAAAGCAGATCACCGAGTCTTTCTTCCACAGAGCCACTAGGTCAGTTTGAAACTCCAACCTTTCAGCCAGCAGTCCACTTGACCATTCAGCTACCAGGGAGAGAGAAGGGTATGCAAAGGAGAGAGAGGGAAAGAGAGATTGATTTTTAAAAAATGAATTGGCTCATGTGATTGGGGGAAGTTAGCAAGTCCAAACTCTGTATGTCAGATGACAGGCTGGAAATTCCAGCATTCTGTGTCTTAAAAATCCATAGGTCAGGTGATGGGAACAGTAAAGAATGGAGGAGTTCTGGCAAGATGGTTATCTACTTCTTAGATGTCCCATCTACTCCTCTCTTCTCTCTGCTACTGGATTCAGCAAAGGAATCATTGTTTGAACCATTGTAGGAGTCTCCCTATTCCCAGGCTTACCTTTCTCCCAAGCTTTGCTTTCATAGAAGTCCTTAGGTGCTGCAAAATGTTAAGCGATTGGCTGTTAACTGAAGGTCAGAGGTTTAAGTCCATCCGGAGTTGCCTGCAAAGAAAAGCCTGGGGATCTACTTCCAAAACATCAGCCATTGAAAACTCTATGCAGCAATATTCCCTTCTGACACATGTGGGGTCACCATGAGTCAGAGTCAACTTGGCAGCAACTGGTTTGTTTTCTAAAAGTCAATAATCACTGCAGGATCACTGCAGCGTTTCTTAGTTGGAGAAGAGACTCTTGGTGATTGAATGACTTTCCAATCTTATTATCCTCCTTTCTGGCTTATGCTACTGCAAAAAGGGGCACCATTTCCTAATATTGGAGGCAGCACCCCATTTCCCCCATCACCCAGGTGCCATTTTGCCATACTATGGTGGCTTGCATGTTGCTATGTTGCTGGAAGTTATGCCACCAATATTTCAAATACTACCAGGGTCATCCATGCTGGACAGGTTTCAACAAAGCTTCAAGGCTAAGAAAAACTAGAAACACATCTATGGAAAGAGATGATGGAGAAGCTCAACATCATCATTCAGAACAAAGCCAGGCTCCGATTGTGGAACAGACCATCAAATGCTCATATACAAGTTTAAATTGAAGTTGAAGAAAATTAAAACAAGTCAGTGGGAGCCCAAATATGACTGTGAGTATGTCAGAATTTACAGACCATATGAAGAATAGATTTCATTCATGGAACATCACTAACTGAACTGAACAAGTTGTGGGATGACATCAAGGATATCGTAGATGAAGAAAGCAAAAGATCATTAAAAAGACTGGAAAGAAATAGAAGACCAAAATGGATGTCAGAAGACACTCTGAAACTTGCTCTTGAACAAAGAGCAGCTAAAACCAATGGAAGAAATGATGAAGTAAAAGAGCTGAACAGAAGTTTTCAAAGGGCAGCATGAGAAAACAAAATATTATAATGAAATGTCCAAAACTTGGAATTGGAAAATCAAGGAGGAAGAACATGTTCTGCATTTCTCAAGCTGAAAGAACTGAACTAAAAATTCAACCCTCAGGTTGCAATATTGAAGGATTTTATGGACAACATATTGAATGTAGAGGAAGGATCAAAAGAAGATGGAAGGAACACACAGAGTTATCATACCAAAAAGAATTGGTTGACATTCAGCCATTTCAGGAGGTAGCATATGATCAGGAACCCATGGTATTGAAGGAAGAGGTCCAAGCTACACTGAAGGAATTGGCGAAAAACAAGGCATTAGGAATTGACCACTGAGATACTTCAACAAACGCACTTGTTTATGCCAAGAAATTTGGAAAACAGCTCCCGGGGTAACTGACTCAAAGACTGTATTTGTACCTATTCCAAAGAAAGGTGATCTCAGACAATGTGAAAATTATCAAATAATATCTTTAACTTCACACACAAGTAAAATTTTACTGAAAATATTTTTTTAAATGTTTGCAGCAATACATCAACAGAGAACGGCCAGAAATCCAAGCCAGATTCAGAAAAGGGCATGGAATGAGGGATACCATTGCTGGTGTCAAATGGATCTTGGGTGAAAGCAAAGAATACCGGAAAGGTGTTTACTTGTGTTTTATTGATTTTGCAAAGGCATTTGACTGTGTGGATATCACAAATTATGGATAATATTGTGAAGAATGGGAACTCCAGAAAATTGTGCCCTTGAGGAACCTGTACGTAGACTAAGAGGCAGTCATTCAAACTGTCATTTTAAACCATGCAGAAGGAAATACTGCATGGTTTAAAATCAGAAAAGGTGTGCTTCAGGTTGTATCCTTCTACCATACTCATTCAATCTGTATGCTGAGAAAATAAGCCAAGAATCTGTGCTATATGAACAAGCATGCAGCATCAAGTTTAGAAGAAGACTATAAACAAGCTGCAATATGCAGATGACACAACTTTTCTTGCTGAAAGTGAAGATGACTTGAAGCACTTACTGATGAGGATCAAAAACTGTAGCCTTTGTATGGATTATATCTCAACAT